TAATTACTGCAGTGTAAAGTAGTGTGAGCAGCAATGTAGCTATGTACTTAACACATCTGTGTCCGGTTAGCACGAGAAATAGGGATTGAAATATTCTAGAGCACTGATAATACTTCAAGCAATAATGAAGTTTCTTGCGAAGTGCTAACGAGTAGGTAACAGAATGTGGTGAGCGTAATAATGAAAGTACAAAATGAGAAAGGAATTAAGTTAACACAGTATTACGCAACCTGGACTGAGAGCCGGGGCACAACAACTCTGTTAAGACAAGTAAAACAGTTGAGCGTATGAGAGCGAGAGTGACATCAAGGGGATCATTGAGTGGGACGAAGTTTATCACAGGATAAGGATCTCGGAATTCTTCTAAAAGGTTCGCAATTGAAGGGTTATTCATACAGAATCGCAAACAAGGAAGAAAATGGAAGACAAGCAATTAATTTCACCTTTCATGAATGGATATTCTTATTTTTATTTGTTCTTCGTTTTCCTTCATAACCTCCTCGCTTGATAACAGCGCCTATAGTCGAGTCTCCAGTTCTGCACTTGTGGCCGTGTGTTGCACGGATAAGTAATTGATCTAGATCGGGTTGACACACCCCAGTTGAAATAGGTGGCAATGATTTTGCTTTGTTGTACAGAGATTAACATGGTCACAGCTCAACTACTCGTGTCACAGAGAGAGAAGCAGCAAAATACCTTTAGCATAAGTACTAGTAGGTCTCAAGCCAAATGCGATCGATATATGTATCGCCTATGTATGTATAGTATCTACCTATGGCTTATTATTCAAAAGGCTGGTGGCCTTTTTATCTGGTGGGTGACGTGGTTGCGGCTTGGTAATTAAACGCGGTGGATATCAATGACATAAGTACCACCTGACAGCGGTAGCACCGGAGAGATCAAGCAATAGGCCAAATAGTAAATGTTTCTTGGGATAACTATCAACTGAAAACGTTGTCACCTATTACGCATCGCACGACAGTTTCACTGCGGCGTGATTGGAGAAGCGAAAGAGTCCAAAGCGGGGTATTAAGGAGACCTCAGTTTGCAACACTTTTAGGCTACATACCTGCGTGTCTCTAGGCACAAGTCAGGGACAACGTCGATGTTACTGTTAGTATTTCTAATGGCCAAGTCAGTGGCAGACATATTTTTCTCTTTGTCCATTCGTAAAGCGAGAAAATGTGTGTTATACACAAAGTACATGACTGAATATTCGCATCTTGACCCACGAATCATCAAGATGAGTGGTGCAATTTCTTGAAACAAGCCGGCGAACGCACCTATCGCTCACGCAGTTTTTGCACTTGATATAACATAAACACGAAGACAAAGATGGTCTAACATAACCAGCTAATTTACCTACATCGACTTAAAGGAAAAATAGCCCAAAGGCAACATTTAGTTGCATGAAGAACATCATTTTAAAAGTTACCTTAGAGAGAAAGGATGATTTCGAGCCGGTACCATATGTGACGAAATTGGATAAATGCGCCAAATGATTTGCTTTACGGTTTTTACAGATACCATTAAGTTTGTACATTTAATCGCAATTCTTAACAACCTCTAGTTTATCCCCAACATACGTTGGTTTGGTGGTAATCCTTACCCAATCCTGAAGCAAACTTCAACTCGATTCAAAACAACTGACAGCCGCTATGAGTGAAGTGGTGCCTGGCCTGCTCGTAAGCGATTAAGTTAAGGGCAATATCGCAGGTTTGCCCCAAGTCAAGAAGTCATACCTGGAAACAACTCTACACCCTTTTAATTATATCCGATGAATGCAGTCTCCAGAGTTCATCATGGCTGACGATAAAAAGGAACATCAGCCATAATTATCGTACATCACTCGAATTGCTTGTGGGTATTGACAGCTTTTCAAAGGTCATCACTATGTCCAATATACGCATGCAAACTGCTTTCCTGAAATTTACTTATTTCTCACTCTTTCCAAACCGTTTACGCACAAGGTGAGCATCTATTCCACGATGCAAATAACACTCCTTGTGATGGTATATAAAAGCTGGGTAGGAGCGAATCGCCTGCCTCAGCGCAGTTGATCAGGCGATCGATCGAGTGAGCGGGTGTTTTAAAAACACAGGCAACTGTAAATTACCTCAGACTTGGGAATAGAACGCTTGCTTGCAGAGGCGGGTGAGTTCTTTCTCTTGATGCGGCTTGGAGAACCAGGCACGAAACAACCTTGACGCTGAGTCAACTCACAAATATTCGTCACCAAGTCACATAGTCTCCTCCAACGACTGACGTTAATTGATATACGTCTGGTGCATCCTCATCTTCAGCAGAACTCAATCTGTTATCCCAGAATCAGTATTACAAAGCCTTTAGCCTTAATTCAAAAAATAATAGTGACAAGCAAATTAGAGCCATGACAATAAAAGACGGATCTGTCTAAATAAATTATTGGTGATTTTAATCACTTTATACTTCTGAAAAATCTTGGGCCAAATGAAGTCAGCTGAAAAAATCTTCCGAATTGCTTTAAGAAATATCCGTGCAGATAAACAACAAGGATTAGTCCACCGTAGTTAAAAAGTTATGACTGAACATTATATTCAATTTTGGCACAATTTACAACAAATTCAAACGGGCGACCTGTGGAGTGTTATGTCCATCGGCGATATTGATTAGTTAGTTCAAACACACTGCGTTCTTATTGGTTTTCCTCGCATTTGCCCGATCAATAGTTTCTCATTCATGCTTTAACTCGAGTGTCATGTGAGCCATGTCGCAGTGCTTCGCCCGATACACTTTGCTTCGTACTGTGTTTTGTTCCTGCCTAACTGCGGTCTGGGGGCTCGTTTGGCTTGAATTCTTTACTACGTATTACCGGCGACTTGATACATATTAGCCCTATCATTAATCCCACTGCCAACTTTTGGTCTTCCGCTGAGGACAAACAGACTTTAGCAAACTGGAGGACGTGGAAGAACCCATTTTTTAACTACTTAGAACTACTGCTCATTTTGGATCCTATGATTTCACCTTCGTAGTCCTACAAAATACGACTATTCAGACAAGTGCTGAGGGATGAAGGACAGCGATATTATGATGTATCTTATGCCGAAAATTGTGACACTATTACATCTGCCTTGGACACATATACCACACTGTGTGGATTGAAACCGAATGTTGGTACGGCGAGAAATTGTTTTTCAAAGCTTGTACAGAAACGGAATGAGAGTGTCAACAACTTCGTTGCACTCACCCATCAGTTAATTCCCGAGTGTAAATATAAAGAAATTCCACCCGACAAATTGGAAGAATAAATGAAAATACAGTGCTTAACTGCGGGGATCCTGAACGGAAGTGCACGAGGAAAATTGTTATCTCTGAACGAGTCAGATACCACGTGGGCGAATGATTGTCTAAGCGTTCACTTCATGGAGAATATCTCGCACAAGCTACGTTAACCCACTGCCTGTCCAGTCGTCGATGCTTTTCACATTTCCTAAACCACGGACTGCAGGTGAACCACGTAAACAGTTCGTGTGCTATCATTTCAGGATGCAACATGCTCGTGTTTCTGAGTGTTGCCACATAGAAGCATCTGCCGAAAATGTGATAGAATAGGCCACCTAGCCCGCGTGTGCAGATCGGAACCCGCCCCACTGGTTAATATCACTCAATCGAGGCGCCATACTATGCTGTCGCGCATGGAGAAAAACGTTCTGGAAGACCCAAACAACGATCTAAATTCCATCTACTTGAATACTATATCATCTAACAAGTGCCCTACATATATGATTCGTTTGATGATCCAGAATGAACCGATCGATTTGGAACTGGATACAGGGGCTGCAGTTACCATTATAAACAATGATTCCATCAAGAGACTGCCGCCCTTACAACCATGTGACTCCGAATTGCCAACCTACACGAGAGATCCGGATTAGGGTCTTGGGAAAGTGCATGGTTAAACTCAGGCACGGTAAGCGGGAATTAATTCTAACTTTGATCGTGGTACCTAGGAAAAGACCAAATCTCTTGGACAGAAGTTGGATTCGATACTTCCTCGAAAAGATGTAGATTAATGAGGTCGTGATCAATGACAGCAGTCTTAACGATCTTAGTTGAAAATAAGTTGCGAAAGCTAAGCCATTTTAAAGCTTCCAACAATCTGCGGGAGAATACTAATGCCAAATTTTACAAAGCATGAACATTAACCTACGCTATGCGTCTCAAAGTTATGGTGGAATTACTACGGCTACAATCCGAATGCGTAATCATGCCCGTACAACACTCGGATTGTGGTACCCCACTTGTTCCTGTACTTAAAGCCGACAGCATCTTTCGTATTTGTAGGGACTAGAAATTAACTCTCAATCAAGCTATCAGGGTGGAAAGGTATCCTCTGCCATACATTGAAGATTTGTACGCTACGTTATCCGGTGGTTAAAAATTTGCTAAGCTTGATGTTAGTCACACATATTCTCAAGTTGAACGTGATGAGGGCTCACACAAATAAATCACCATAACTATACATCTTGGATTATTTCAGTATACCCGTCTTCCTTTGTTATAAATTCCTCCTCCAGCATCTTCCAGCGGACTGTGGCTGACATGGTGAATGATATACCCTTTAATTGTGCTTATTTGGATGATATCCTGGTTTTTGGTCACACTGATGCTGAACATTTAAAGACATTTCGGACAATGTTGGAATCGAAAGGATTGAAAATGAGTTTTTTTCGAATCTATTTGTTACCTTGGCTACAAACTTTGATAAAAGTGGTCTGTGTGTTTTGCAGGATAACGTGTCCCCAACTATACAGGCATCATAGCATAAGAATGTTGGTGAACTCTGATCATTCTTCGGAATGTTATCATGCTATCCATGTTTTTTACTAGGGGCATCAACTACTTTATCTTCTTTCAATGCATTGCTACATAAAAGCACTTCATGGGTGTGGAAAGATGAGCATCAGCGCCAGTTATAGCTCACAATAGTAGAAAAAGGCCTCCGATCATTCAGTGTGATGTTTATCCATACGGAGTTTAAGCAGTTTGCTGTCATAAAACGCCAAGTGGTGCAATTTATCCGAATGATTTCGCTTCGCGTGCCTTACAACCGGCTGAAAAAATTCACAATTGTTCGAGAGGCCTATCAGTTATCTTTGATGTCAAGAAATTTCACCAGTATATTTGGGGCAGTTGTTTTAGAGATCCAAACTGATCACAAATTGTTGATGTCGTTCTTGGATGAATCCAAGGAGATCCAACAAATGTATTCACCTAGAATGCAACGGTGGACACTAATCCTTAGTGCTCATGAATACAAAACCTGTTACATCCCAGGCCCTAACCATTGTACGGCGGATGCCCTGAGTCGGTTACTGCACGCGACCCCTGCAGGGTCAATAGAGGCACCGGTGAAGTTAGTTCCTTTGATGCAGTACCTCGACAGTACGCCTTTGAAAAGTGACGTCATATGTCGATGGACCGACCAGGTACCCAACCCAGCCCTCGTGATACGAAGCACGAAGCTGGACTGGCCTAGTAGAATTCCGGCTGATTTGAAACCTTTTGGACTTCGCAGACATGAGTTGAATATACAAGATGGTTGCTTATTTTGGGGCTCACGATTGATTCCACTATCAAAAGTGTGCCCCTTCATTCTAAATGAACTTCACAATGGACATCCAGATGTTGCCAGAATGATGGCTATTGCTAGACGCACGGCTTAGATGCCGAAATTGAAAACTACTTGAAAAGTTGTGGTCATTGCCAACAATATCAGTCAGAAAAACTTCCATATCCAATACACCTTTGGCATTGGCCTGAAAGGCCATGATCGTCGGAAAGAAACCTTTTTCCTGTTGATAGTCGATGTCCATTCGAGATCCATCGATGTTTGTCCATTGTCTTATCCAACGGGTGAACTACTATTTAAAAGATGTGATCATCGATTTCGGTTTTCGGAATACCTGAAACCGTTGGTACAGATGACGAACTTTGAGAGCTTTATGCAAAGCAATGACATTAAACACGTGCGTACAGCCCCATATCATCTTGAGTCAAATGAACCATCCGAAAGAGTAGTGCAGACGGTAAAAGAGGTCTGCGAAAGCAGTTATCGGGAACCGTACGAATGCGATTAGATCGATTACTTTTTGCCTACAGAAAAACTCACATAGAAGCCACGGGTAAATCCCACGCAAAGCTGATGTTCGGTCGAACACTTCGTACTTGATTACATCTGTTATTTCATAATCGTCGAGCGCAAGTACAAGCAAGACCAAAGAAGACAGCTACGTTAGACAGGGATCAGGATGTGGTTTTCCAACAGGGAGATTCTGTGTATACACGATTTCCCCACCAACAGTCATGGCAGCCTGCAACCGTGGTCACAAATGATGGTACCTAGGCTAAGCTAGAGGTAAATGGCCGCGTCTTGAGGCGGCATTCAGACCACATACGTCCGCGTTGTGTAGAAGCAAGAGCGAATGAGGAAAATATATTTGCTTCAGTCCAGCCGACGGTGAAACAAACCACTCAGGACACGGCGTAAACAACAAACTGTCCACCACTTCTCAGATCTCAACGCGTACCTAAACCTATGGAACCTTCCGTACCGCGTGTATGATTTTCTCCAAGAGAGGAGTGGATGTAACATCAGTCGATGATATTGATTAGTTAGTTCACCGCGTTCTTTTTGATTTTCCTCTCATTGACCAATCAGTAGTTCCTCACTCATGCTTTAACTCGTGCGTTATGTGAGCCATGTCGCACTGCTTCCCCCGATACACTTTATTTCGTACTGTGTCTTGTTCTTGCCTAACTGCGGTCTGGGGTGTGCTTTGCTTGAATTCGTTACTACGTAATATGGAGCAGAGCTGCTTTTAACCAACAACGATTCTGGTTATTCTGTGATCAAATTATTATTCTGGATGCTTGGTTTAAATGCCTAAGTGTTTTAACAGGTTGCGGATAGGTTGTTCACCATCTTTACATATAAGTTTACTTCAGCGATTTTGTTTGCTACTTGTTTGTCAAATGAGAGGGAATAAATTTCCATGATTCCTGGGAGTAGTAGCCATCTGCATATCCGATATTCGATGAAACCATTGGTCTTCATAGTCTCTGTTCCTGTTAGCGCGCTAATTCCCACTAATATTTTGGCTAGCCTCTTTGTTTTTGGTTTCAGTCAGATTGTGTCAGTACCCAACAACTTTTTATAAAGACTGGGTAGAAACCAAATGCTCTGGTTGGGAAGAGTGTTTCTATAGCAAATCATAGCTCTAGGTTAGTATGTCATGGAATATGTGCCCAGTGAACTTCAGATGATTCTAATGAACTCCTACGCACATCGCGAGCCAGTACGCTTTGTTGTGTTTTCAAGATAGCCGGCTTCGCAAGCTGTTAAATATGTATGCTTTCGCAACACCGTTCCTTGCTTTCGCCGAATGGAACCCGGAGCTCAGAGCACACAAGTGCAGAGCCAGAATCAACACAAGTACTCAAAATCGTGTGGAAGTTTTAAATGCAAATCCGAGAGTTGTGATAGATCTGTGTCTATATCTTGTAAAATTCTGGTGATTACCACGTAACCTTACGGCAACCGCTGTTTCGCAATTTTTCTGCTTTCGAAAATAGATGAACAGAATTCTAATACCTGTTCGCTCTCATTACGGCGGCTTAAATTGTACTTGTTGCTTAAGTATAACTTACTAATCGACAGTTCTACAACTTAACCTCTCGGATTACCAGTTATCAGTACGGTAACGATGCTCACACTGTAACCAACTGGCGCATTCAGCTCAGAATTCAGGTCATATTTTACAAATAAATTCAATCGTTCGTGGGGTTCATTCAACAGTGTCATGTTTAGCAAGTATTAGTGCGAAGTTATGAGCTTTGAACCGATCAGAGTTTTTGTTTTCACACATCTGGTTACCGCTTAGGATCCAACTGCATAGGGAAGCTAATGGTTGGGAATAGTAGCTTTGCCATATGGGCTTGATAAGCACTAGCAGTTGCGCTAATTCCGCTTAGACTCAATTGGATAGCTCTAGCAGCGCCATGCAATAGTGGGCGTAGACCGTTTGCAGATCAGCAGTCGTTCAGACAATATTCTTACAAGTAAAATGCAACACGTGTTTCCGGGTGTATTGCAAGAGTAATTGTTAACTGTTGACTGCTCCGCAAGTCAGTCAGTCATGCCGTACGACTGCACTCTAACTCGACTCTCTCTTCGCCGGTTGAGGCCATTCCTATTCTCCTCACACATTCTTGTGCGTGCGCTTCCGAACCCGTTCGACGAGCGCTACTCAGTGCTTCTCACCTCTTGGCTCTAACTTGTGTGAATCATAATGTTGCTTTGTTCGCACTTTTAGCACATTCTGTCATGTTCTACGTGTGTAGTTACGTCCCTCCTAAGCTTACTGGAATACTTTTAGTCACCTTCGGAAAAAGAACCTGTGGACTCTGAAACGACGCTGCAACCATTCTTGCAGGCTGCAGCATAACCAAGTTACGGGAAAATTTTGCCTCACTCATAAACTGAACATCGAGCACGAAACCCTTAAGATCGCTTATCAAATAAATGGAACAATGGTAGAATAGAGATTTTAAAAAAGCCAAAGCTTGACAAGTCCGTGTGATGGTTAGTGGGAATTAACTTCGTTCAAAAATGTTGCACAAAAGTAAAAAGCGCATCTATGGACTCAACATATTATCCACATTAACACAAAGGTATATCCGTCTAACCCGCTTTCGTGGGGTTGGTGAGCGCAAAGTGTTTGCTTTCGTCATGTCATCACTCAAGAAATAGAAATCAGCTCAAGTAATGTAAGTGGTGTAAAGCATTGTCGATTCGTTTTTAAAATAATATGTAGCGCGGGAGCGGAAATGACAAAAGTCGAAAGAGCGTTTATTGGTTGACAAACTCGAAGGAAAATTACTTCCGGTTACATTCCGGCTGACTCTAGTGGGTGGCAATCTTCAAATTATGACAACTCAATACTGTTTTGCGGCTACACTTCAGGAGGTGGCGAAAGTTGTGCCCGGAGTGTTTCAAGATCTGGAACGCCAAGATGAGGTCACGTCGTAGACGGCGATAACTGCCGATGTGCTCTCCTATTCGTCACAGCCGCCTATTGTATTGCAGGTGGGACAGCCCCATCACATTTTGGTCGCGCTTCGCTTAGCGGCCTCCAGCGCAACCAGACAGCGTGTTAACCAGGGTTGCTAAGCCTGGGTCACGTACTTCAGTTGGGGCCACAAATATGCATTGAGCATTTAGGGGAAGCTGGAGGGATCGAACCTACCGAACGTCCTCCGTAACAGACCAACATGTTGGTTTACGGTCTTGAACGCCTTCAAGAACTGCGCCGAACAGTCAGGATCGTCTTGCATCACCGCAACAAGGTCTCACCCTTGTGAGGCCGTTCTCAGCGCGTCGCTTTTAAGCTTATATGCTGCATGAGATTGTAGTGAACATGCATGGTTTTGCACTTGTCTGTGTTAAAGTGAAGTAGCTTTTCATTTGACCATTCAATGGCATGGTCAAAGTCTCGTGGTAGCATATTGTGGTCTTTCTGACAGTCGATTGCCCTCCACATATTGAGGTCATGGGCAAATAGCAGTAATTTAACTTGTTGACACTAGCAAGGTTGTTATTAAAGAACGAGAATAACCGTGGCCCAAACACTGACCCATGTGGAACACCGCAGTCCACATTAATTGGTTCAGCATATAGGCACCGCACTCGAGGCCGTAGGTTCCGCTGAAAACGGAAGTTTCTGATCCATCAAAGGACAGATTTCCAACTTCGTATGTTAGCAGAATTTTAGAAAAGCATGAGGGGATCTTTGCAGTCGAAGGTTTTAGAAAAGCCTAGGTAGATGACGACATTGTCGGTCCCAATGTCGGCTATCTGGGGGCAATTGCCACAGGCAGAGTATATTGGTAGTACATGAGCGACGCTGACGGAAACCTTGTTGCTCCGATAACATGATGTTAGGCCTTTCGCAGTATCCTATTACAGCCTCAGGTATGGTCGATTCCAATATCTCTGGGAACACCGGGATGTGAATCACTGGGCGAGCGTTGACTTGCTCTGTACGGCTACCACGCTTGAAACTCGGGAGAATGATGCATTGCTTCCACATGTTAAGGACCTACTGTTCGTCCAGTCATCTTTGAAATATCTCATTAGTGGCTCAGCTATCCTCGTAGCTGCTACCTGCAGTGCTTTTGTGGGAATGTTGTCAACTTCAAGGGAACTACGCATGCGCAATGATAGCAGCTTCCTCAAAATGGTCACGGAGCTAAGGGTGACTGTGTAACTACTGGCGTCTGGGAGATTGGGACAGATATTTTACACATGCTAGTAGCACGTTGGAAAATTAAAGCATAATGGATTTGTAGAACGTTAGCTGCATCCACGCTGGTTTGAGCACATCCATCTGCTGAGGTTAGTGGAGGAACACAAAGTTTCACATTCCGGAGGCTGTTCACATGTCTGAACAGAAACTCTTTGTTAGCACAAAGCTTTTCCACTAGGCTGCTGCTATTCTAACTTGCCTTCACGCACAAGCGTGCAGTAGTGACTAAGATGCACAACATAGTTGCTTCAGTTGTCAGGGTCAGGATTCGCTCTATACACGTGCCAAGGTGCATCACTTACAGTCATGTCTTTTCGGGTTTTGCTCCGAATGCATAAATGCGCTCTTGTGGA